TGCGTTGCATATGGCCTGACTTCTACGTTGCCTGCCTTGCAGCCAATGCACGTTGCTTGTGACGTTTATTTGCATGCGTCGCATCTGGCCTGTGATGTGTGAGCACTGGCTGCAGGCGCCACGATTGGTAAATAACTTGCGCTGTGCATGGCCTGCCCTGAATAGGACCTGCGATGTATGCTGCATATACACCTTATTTTTAGTAAATGCGTGTTGTATGTCGCCTGAAGAGTGTTTGCTTTGTTTAATCATACGTGCCATATAACGTACGCGGAATGACCAATATAAGATGACTTGCTTATTATGCATTGTTTGTTGTTTGGTATGCATGTATGGTATCAGGCCTGACATGCACGGTTCATGCCATATTTCTTGTATGTCGAACCTTATATATAATATGTGTTGTATATTGTGTGTTTTTGTATATAGTATTATTTTCCCGAGGCGGCGACTCCCGTGTATCCGTTCATCTACATGGGGACGGGCGCGCCAGCGGGCGATGATGTCCTCGCATGGGACTCGTCGATCAACAAATGGAGGTGCATGCTCTGCGGCTGGAGCCCAGAGCACGCGCCGCGAGCCGAGGACCCGTTTTCGCGGGAACGCAAAGAGCAGCTCTTAGTTTCACAATAGTGGCACCTTATATGGTTTAGAAAACTAGATCGGAAACCCACATTGCCCGCGGCAGAACCAGGCCCAAATAAAAGACAGTAGAGCGTTAGTTAGCAGCAGAGGCCGCGACCTTCTACATCTGCAGAAATGACGAACAATCATTGCACTTTCGCCCCGAGTCGGCGCTGTTGGCTTTGGAGTAGCCTCAAGCAATCCAGCGCTCGTCTGGAGCAGGCCCCCGTCTGCGTTTGGATTTTCTCAAACCCCAATCACCGGACCTAGGATACTTCCTACGACGAGCACTTCAAGAGCAACAAGCACGTCAAGCGTGCTGGGTGGCAGCGCATCGTCCCGAACCCAGATCACCAGGACTTCAGGCGCGTGATCGGAGGCTGGGGCGCGGGCGCAGCCGCGGCGGGGGCGGCGGGGGCGGCGGCGCCGCCGCCGCCTCCGCCTGAGTGGGGCGCAGGCGCGGCGGCGGTCGCGCCGCCGCCGCCTTCCCCGACCGACGCGGTGCCGGTGCAGGCGGCGCCGCCCGCGCTGGCGCTCCTGGGCGGGGCGCCCGGGCACGGCGCGGCCGCCCCCGAGGCGACGCCGGGCGGCGACGGCGCGGCGGCGGCGGCGGACCCCGGCGACGGCGATGCGACGTTGCAGCGCGTGGCGGCGCTCGAGGCTCTCGTGGCGGCGCTCGCGGCTCGCGTGGCGGCGCTCGAGACTCGCTAGAACAGTCTGTATGCGACTGCGAGCGCGGGTGCGTGCCACATTAAATATAATTAGGGGTGAGCTTCGACTGCATGGACTTTGGTTTGCAACTTTTCTCCCAAGAGCGCGGCATTCGAATGTAGAGTCGTCGAAAAGTCTGTGCGCGCCTGAGCGCTGCGGCATGCGGATATAGAGTTGTAGAACAGCCTGTATGCGCATCATTCCGAATGCCGGGCGGTCAGAGAGCTGCGGCATTCGAATGTAGAGTTTTTGAACAGACTGTCCCGTCCCCATTGCAAAACATTGCGCTATGTGCTCCATAGCCGCAGGTACTCATTATCGGACTTGGTGTGCTTCGTGTGCCGCAGCAAGTGAGGTGCCTCCTGCTGCGCGCGGTACTTTTTCTCTTGAGGTTGTATCGGAGGTTTGGGATATACTTCATCGGGGACGCAGGCGCGCACGCTGGGAAGTACCACGCTGCGCGTGGTACCTTTTCTCTTGAGGTTCTATCGGGGGGGGGGGGGGGGGATATACTTCGTTGGGAACGCAGACGCGCGCGCTGAAAAGTACCCCGCTGCGCGTGGTATTTTTTCTTGAGGTTGTTGAACAGCTTGTGTGCGCATCATCTCCCGTCCTTCACTTCCTTGATCTCCTGGGCCCTTGATCTCACCATCCTCATGCGGTGCGCACATCTCTTGGAATGTCATCTTCAAGAGACATCATATACAAATGACGTCATAGACAAGGACGATTATATACAAGAGCTTTATATAGTGGAACTATCATATACGAGGACTATCGCATACGAGGAAGATCACAGACAATGAAGTCCATATTCATGCAACGAAGGCCATCCCAGGCCCCGCTGCGCCTCTGGCGTAGAGGTTAGGCTCGAGCTGTCCGCTTCTGAACCACGGGAGTTGACGGCCATGGTGCACTTTAGCTACCAGAAGTTCCTCTTTTGGACGCATGTGCCGTGCGCCACTTGGCATACCTCGTCATCGGCAGCTTCCGGTGCCGCAACGACTGGACCGCTCCATCAGCTTACCAAAGCAACACCAGTACACGAGCGACGTCAGGAACCACCGGGGCGTCGGCAGGGCGAGCTGCTGCACGGCGCCCCACACGACGTCTCATCCAGCGATCGCAACCATGGGTCTACGATGTCATCCTGACGGACGAGGACACCGCCCGACAGGATTGGAACCAGCGGTGCCAGCCCTACGTTGAGACGAGCTTGACGCAGGACCCGATCTTCCACAGCCTTGGCGTACTCGAGAGATCTGCAGTTATGGATGGCGCATCGGCGGTCGACGCCGCAGCCGGATCCGGGGCGCCATCATGGGCATGCCCAGGGGCGCCCCCGCCCACCTGTTCCAGCAGATGTATACTAATTGCATGCGAGAGGCGGAGGCGGCGAGGCGTCGGGGGCAAGACCAGCTGGACAGATTCGCTGGCGGCCCTGGCTCCATAACGCGCCGCGCCTACGCTCTGGCCCTCCCTTTGGCACAGGGCTTCTGGGAGAGGTGATGTGCAGATCCGCCTGGAGACCATGATGTTTGGCTTGTTTCTTGGCACGTGCCCCGCGCGTGCACGCTGCGCTCTTTAAATGTCGCCGCGACGTTGCGTTTCAGGGCTGCTCGTCTCCGCCAGTGGCAAAAGTGCGCTTCACAAACGCATCGCGCGGGAAGTAGCTTTTCCACCGCCAGAAATGGGTCGCAAGCATTTAGAAATATCACAGCCAACATTAGCGAACATAATAGTGCTGACGATGGGGGCGATGAGTTGGGCGGATGAACATTTTCTGGCGCTGCCCTCCGTGCCTGTCTGGTGGAATCACGCAACCTGACTGAATCATTTCAGACATGCAATGTTTGTCCGGCTGCCGCTGTGACCTGGCCACAGCGCCACACCAGAGGATGTATTGATCAAGCATGGCCGCAAGGATTGCTTGAGTGAGTTTGAGAGGGAGAAAAAACATCCTCCTCCTCCTTTTCCTCCTCCTCCTCCTCCTCGTCCTCGCGGGGAGGATTATTGCTCGGGGTCCACGCTTGTTAGTATTTTCTGGCTGTCCTGGCACGTGGGACAGCGCCAGAAAATGTTTCCTGTCGAGACCTCGCTGGGCTCCAGTTGAAAACTCAGGTTGCGCCGCGTCTACAGGGCCACGTAGTTTGCACCGCGTCGACTGCATCGCGCGCACCGGACAACGCACTGTTCGGGGCCCACGGTGGCTGGCGTTTTCTGGCCCTTTCAGGCAGTCAGGGCAGCGCCAGAAAATGTTAAAAGTTACTCGGCGTGTGTGTTCCCCTCCAGTATTCCCCATCTGCCAGCTGCCACGGCCGAGACGACACCGCCCCCTCCTCCTCCTCCTCCTCCCCCTCCTCCTCCTCCTCCTCCTCCTCCTCCTCATCCTCCTCCTCCTCCTCCTCTGGAGATCTCGAATTCAACCCAGGAGTTCCAGCGAAGCCCGGATTTTTTTTGGGCGAAACCCAGCCTGAGCACGCTCGCGCAACCCGGAATTCGGTAGCCAAACCCGGAATTTCAAAGAGGCCAAACCCGGAATCCCAGAAAGGTCAAACTTGGAACACTGACGGGCGAACCCAGGAAGGTTCTCAGGCGACGGCCTCTTCTCCTCGTCCCGCTTTCTTGCATCCTCTTCGTCGTCTTCCTCTTCGTCGTCGTCGCGTTCGTCGTCCTTCGTCGTCGTCGTCGTCGTGTTTGTCGTCGTCGTTGTTGTCGTAGTCGTTCTCGTCGTCGTCGTCGTCGTCGATGTCGCCGTCGTCGTCGTCGTCGTCGTCGTCGTCGTCGTCGTCGTCGTTCGTCGTCGTTGTCGTCGTCGTGGGAGGGGCAGGAGGGCGCCTTAGTTTGGTGAGCTCCTTTGCGGCATTCTCGCGGGGGGAGGGGAGGCAAACACTAAATTAGGGCGTTTATTATCTCTCTCTGCGTCTCGTCGTCGTCGTCGTTTTCGTCGTCGTCCTCCTCTTCGTCGTCCTCTTCGTCGTCGTCGCGTCCGTCGTCGTTCGTCTTCGTCGTCGTCGTCGTCGGCGTCGTCGTCGTGGAATGGGCAGGGGGCCGCCCTAGTTTGGTGATTTCCTTTGCGGCATTCTCGCGGGGGTATGCGGCAAGCGGAAGCACCGCCGCAGTTCGCTCGGTGCTTCCGCTTGCCTCCCGCTTCGCAAGGAGGTCTCGCATCGGATACGGACTGGTTTGGTGCACTTCAGCCGCGCATCGTTTGAGGATTAGCTGGGGGAGAAAACAGAAGAACAGCAACTGCTTCTCCCAGGTCACCCGACGGCGGCGCCAGGATAATCTCGCGTCGCGGCCTGGGCTGTACAGTTGCCCTTCTCCATGGGGCCGGCGCGGAGGGCGCGAAGATGGTCGCGCTTCGCCCGACGGCAGAGCACGCGGCAGCCAAACTCATGATATTTGTCCACATTGATGGCGCCCTCCCTTATTACACCGCGTAGATTGCCTCGCATAGATGGCACCATCTTCTGGCAGTGCTGGCATGTAGGGCAACAGAAAATCTGTTGTTTGCTGATACTCACTGTTCGGGGTCCACGCTGGTTAGTATTTTCTGGCTGTCCTGGCACTCAGGGCAGCGCCTGCATCACGCGCATTGGGCAACGCACTGTTCGGGCCCACGCCGGCTACCGTTTCTGGCCCTCCTGCCACAGCCGAGACGACACCGCCCTCTCCTCTTCCTCCTCCTCTTCCTCCTCCTCCTCCTCCTCCTCCTACTCACCCCCCCGTCTCAAGTGGCGTGCGCCCGCCGCGCGCGCGCTCTCGGCCAAAGGTGCTCGCCCGAGCAGGCCGTGAGCTATTCCTTTGCACTTCCTGCCACACGTGCATTTTGCCGTGTCCGTGTACTGTACATTCCTTTCGGTTCTGACGGTTGGCCGCGATGGGTCGCTCGGCCAAGGCCAGGCGCGCTGACAAGTCGTCGGAGTCAACCAGCCCGTCCAGGAGGACTTCACAGTCGAGAAGGTCCTCGCTGACGCCCAGGCGCCCACGCCGAGACATTGAGCGCATCTCGTCCAGCTCCTCTCCGCCACCCCGTGATGATAGGAGCAGGAGTGCAGGCGCCTATTCTGACAATCGGCCCCCTATGTGGATGAGAGATATAGTGGGAGAGGTTCGTGGGATGAATAACAATATAGCGAAGTTGGAACAGAGCATGCAGCAAGAAATGATCACATTCAAGAATGCTCTCACGATTCATGACCAGAGTTTGCATAATATGAATGCGAGGATCATTGCAGTTGAGCGAGCACCGACAGCAAAGATCAAGGAGGCCGTTGCGGCGGCGATCGATACCAAACTGGAGTCCGTGCAGAACCAGCTGGACGCGCTGAAGGCGGGCTCAGGTGCCTCTTCCAGTGCGGGATCGGCTGACATGACGGTTGATGAAGGTGCTCGTCCTGCATTTGTTGGTGGCGGTGGGGGTGGAGGAGGCCCAAGTCGACAGGCACCATCGGATGCTTGTGTGCGCTTCCTGGGGACATTCCCGAGACCACTGCTGAAGAAGGCCAGGGAGAAACACTACAATGAGACGGTTCTTGTGCGATATGCGCATCTCTTGAATGGAGTAACGCCTTTCTTCCATGGCATCTCGCAGAGCTACAAGCTCACCTTCCCGACCAGCGTTGCAGCGGAGACATTCCAGCAGAGATTCAACGAGGACGGCGGCCATGACTTCATGGACAATCGCACGCAGAAGACATCGTCGATTCGCTGCCGTGCTGACCTCCCAGTTGACGCAAGGATGAGGCAGCGGGCTTTCAATGGCATTTTCGAACCATTCCTGAATGAGTTGAAGAAGAGCCCCAGATGGAGCCCCTCGTGCCGCTTGGGGGTGAACGGATTCAAAGGTGTCCTATTGGTTAGGGATGATGAAGACATCTGGGAGATTGTCGCGGCCAGGGACAAGTCGAAGTCTGACGTGGAGTTCATTCCCATTCATGAGGAGCTCGCAGAGTGGGGAATCAGCGCTGAGACGGCGTCCGCCATCATCGAGCGAGTACGTGCGCAGCTCTAGGCTGCACCACCAGGGCATCTTCGGAGTGACCAAAGGGATGCAGAACGCGGTGGTCTTCGCGAAGCGGAGGGGACGCTGAGTGAGGCCAGCAGTTCTGTTTTTGCCGCCCCGCATGGGGGCGCCGTGCTTTCTGGTAGCAGCAGCAGTTGCAGCAGCAGCAGTCAATTTTCTCAGCCAGGCAGTCAGTCCCCTCTCCCTCCCCTCCTCCCTCGTCCTCTTACAGTGGATCAACGGCTCAGTATTTGCTCCTGGAACGTTCAGACCCTCCTGGGATCGGTGTTCACGGACCAAAATCTTATTCGGGAAAAGTTCAGGCGCCTGAAGAAACTCCTCGAGAAAAAACGACGTGGTGTGTATTCAGGAATCCCATGGTATTGCAGAGGACTTTGATCAGTTGGAAAAGGATCACAAGTCTCACAAGCCGTTCGGGACATTCTGTGAGTCAGCTGCTGCTGGAGGCCTACTGTTCTTTGTCTCACGCAAGCTGATGTCGAGGTTTACTGCTGCGCAATTAGATACTATAGTGCCTGGTCGTATTGCTTCTCTCCTTCTCCAGGGGCCACAGGGGTGTTGCCAGATTATGAACGTTCATATTGTGCCTGATTGGGCTGAGTGGGAGGTTCGGGGGATCTTCTCTCGCATCCAACGTGCCCTTCTTCCCTCACATGCTTCTCTTGGTTTTGTTGTGGGTGACTGGAATTTTATGGCGACGGGGGAATCGAGACTGCATACTGATACTGGCCTGGATGGCCCTGTAGGCTCGCGTCTTGCCTCGCACTTCCATGCTTCGCTCGGCCAGCTCGGGGAGATCGTTCAGGAGAGGGATACCCACAGGATTATTCGTTCGTCTGGAAGCGAGAGTGGGCCAAGTGAGCAGGTCTCTTTTGCTCGCCTTGATCGAATTTACACCACGCTCGCCTCGCAGGACCTGCTGGGCCTCTGCCCGAGGACGGGGACCATTTGGCCCATTACTGATCTCAGAGCCCCATCCGACCACTGCCCGGTGTTCTTGTCGCTTGCGGCATGGTCCCCGTCGGGCAACACGCGTATTCCCAGCTGGGTGTGCAAGCATTCACGATTCAGTATTAAACTTCAGGAAATATTGGATCCCGAGGCTCTCTCTGATATACCGGCTGTCGGGCTTAATGAAATCAAAGAAGTTATGAGATACGTCTCGCAGCGCGTCAAGGACTGGGTTTATGAAAAGGGGGCCCGCACGGCGGAGGAAAAACTCGCTTGTATGCTGTGTGTCCTTAGGGGCTCGGGGGGGGGGGGGCTCCTGTAAGATTTCCAAAGGCCTCAAGGGGTTCCCTTATCTCTTCAGGTATCTTGACCCTCAGGAGTTGTGGTGGACCGACCGCCAAGGCTTCGACTCGCTTTTTTCGGACCTGATGCGTCAGAACCTTCGAGCTCGAGAAGTCTCTGCTCGTGCAGAGGCGGATGGCGACGTCGGTGGAGCCCGTGCCGCGCAAGCAATTGCTCGTGTCCGCCGTCTTGGCCAGGCCTGGAAGAAATCTGGTCGCCAGATTTTTCTCCAGCAGGTTACGGATGCTGACGGCATGGCCCACAGCGATCCGAATGAGTGCTCCAGGCTGCTGGCGGATCACTGGAGTGCCATCTTTAGTGCCCGTGAGGTAGATAATGAGATGATTGGATCACTGGCTGCTGAAGTTACCCCGATTCCAGAAGACCAGCATCAATATGTTTCTGACTCTGGTTCGATCTACCCCTGGGTCATCCCCGAGGTTGTCTTCGCGGAAATCCTGGACCAAAAGTATGACTCTTGCCCTGGGCCCGATGGTATCCCATACTCCGCCTGGAAAGCCTCTGGTGATATTGGTTTGGAATGTCTTTACTCTATCTACCTCGAGCTAGTTGAGCACCAGCGCCTGCCGCCCAACTGTAACGACAGCGCCGCTGCCTTCTTGCCGAAGGGCACCGCGCTGGAGGGTGAGACTGTCGCTCGCGCTGCTGAAGAAACACGGCCCCTTTCGCTTTCGAATACGGACAACAAACTTGTGAGTGCAAGCATTGGTTGGACGCTCTCCAAGGTTGCGAGTGACCAAGTCCTGGGTACCCAAAAAGGTTTTTTAAAAGGCAGGCAGATGATTGACAACATTATTGAGGTGGACGCGTCGATGCTTCTTGCGCACTCTCTATGCGACTGTCGTCGCGCAGGCGCGGCCCTGTTCGACCTGAAAGCGGCCTTCCCCAGCATTAACCACACATACATTTGGTCTGTTTTACGTGCATTTGGTATTCCTGAGTTTATCGTGCTTAGCACTATGGCTTTATATGGTAATAGTCGTATGGTTGTTCAATTCAATAACTCGGAGCCCGTCTATATCCAGTTGTGTCGTGGTATCAAACAAGGTTGCCCCCTAAGTGGTCTCTTATTTAGCCTCTGCTTCGACCCAGTCGTTCGGCGTTTGCAGCGTGTCTCTTTGTGTGCGGCTGTCACTTTTAACGTGTTCGCGGGCGACATGGCCGCGTCAGCCACCGATCTTATTGCGGTGCTACCGAAGGTGTGCAAGATCCTTGTGCAGAGTGGGTGCGCCACTGGTCTGATGTTGAATTTGAAGAAATGCCAGCTTGTTTTTCCTGATGCGGAAACATGCGCACAGGCCACCCATCTCTGCAAGGAAGCGGGTATCAGGATTCGGCAATTTGTTGTCTCGAGGTGCGGGTGGCATCTCGGCGTGGGGGTGGGGATTGAGGCATCTGAAAGGTCTTGGGCCCCTGTACTCGCCAAGCTGAAGGAGAGGTGTTTGAGGATTAAGTCTATGGGATTGGGGCTATCGTCGAGTATTGGAGCGTATAATGTATATGGCTTACCAGTGGTTTCTCATGTTTCGCAAGTTCATACCCCTCCCTTGCGTGCTACGAAGGTGGAAAAAGACGGGCTCCAGCTGCTCACATGTTCCCCGAGGCACAGCTTCCCGCCCCTGTCCCTCTTCAACCTGCGTTGGCTCGGCCACCAGGTGGAAGCTCGGCATCTTGAGACATATGCCCGAGCCTGTATGGTCCGTGCAGCCACGAGAAGTACGTGTTTGTTTTATTCTACTCCAGACTCCTTGACCTCTGGGCAGAGTCTGATGAGATCTGCGTGGCTTGGCGGTATAAGATTATGACTAGGCACTCGATCTCCATGCAGATGAAGACCGCATATGAAGAGTTCTATAGGATCCATCCTCAGCCAGGGGACATTCCAGCCAATAAAGTCCAAGCCTATATCCAAAAACAGTTGAAAGTTTCCAATAGTATGCCGTGTATGGCCTCCATTCTCTATCCGCGTATCGCCAAATGGTTCCCCAGATGTCCCATGGAGTTTGCTGATCGGGCCTTTATTCGACTTCATACTCTTGGTGCCAAGCTCCCTGGGTTCGTTGCCACAGCCGTCCTGAAAAGCCTCTTCAATTCTTGGAATACGACCAGGCGTTATCGATGTGGTGCTGTTGGGTGTCGGTTCGGTTGTCAAGCTGTAGGAGGGGACGACATATTACACGATATGATGTGTCCTATTGCTATCGGTGCCGTTCGTAACAGCTATCGACTTCTTCCCGACGGCTATGGAGTTGACCCATTTTCTTCCTTCCTTCCCCACCTCCTCCCTGCTGATAGTGAATCTTTTCTGTCAGCATGCCTGGCCATTGACTGTCTGCACTCCACATTCCAATCTCTGCGGTCTTCTTGCTCCGCCTATTCCCCTGCGCGCACTATAGGCCTGATCCGTGCTCGTGTTCGCACCCAGGTCCGTCGGTCGAAGGTCGCCGAGGCCTTGGCGAGAGCGGGCCCTGGTCGGCAGAGGCCATGATGTGCATGGCCCCCCCCCAGGCGCGCCCGCGGCGTGCCTGCTCTCTTGGCAGTGGTGGACGGGACCTCCCTCTCCCCCTCTCCGAACGCGGGTCGCTCCTCCTCCTCCTCCGTTGGAGACCTCGACCGCCTCCACTGGAGTCCGGCCTTATGGGGCCACACAACCCGCGTCAAGACACGGCGGGACCCGACCGGTGGAACCGCGCACCAACAAGGATATGGAGGAGCGGGAGGAGGGAGGGAGGACGAGGAGGGGGGGAAGGAGGGAGGGAGGGAGGGAGGAAGAGGAGGAGGAGGAGGAGGAGGAGGAGGAAGAGGAGGAGGAGGAGGGGGAGGAGGAGGAGGACGACATCGTCCCTTGGAAGCCCACCTCCCAACGCGATGTGGGCAGACTGGCCGCGAGGTCAGCATCTGGCATTCCGTCTCCGATGGAGCCTTCAAAGTGGGAGGGCAATTGTCTGAAACAGGCCTGCCAGTGTCAACCGTTGCTACCAGGGACCTCTGCCCCTCATCATCCGAGTCTTCGGTGTCCACGATGGCTAACATTTTCTGGCTCTTTTGGCAGTCAGGGCAAGGCCAGAACATGTTCACAGGCAGTTACGAGATGCGACGACGACAACGACTACGACGACGAGTGCTGCGACGAGTACGACGACGAATACGACGACGAGTACGATGACGACGAGTACGACGACGAGTACGACGATGACGACGACGACGACGACGACGACGGCGACGACGACGACGACGCTGGCTAACATTTTCGGGCTCTTCTGTACGTCAGGGCAGCGCCATAACATGTTCACAGAAATTTCGTGTTTGTCTGACGACGTGTTCTCAGACATGTCGTGTTTGCCGTGCATATCCTCATCCCCATTCTCCGCAGCCGTTCTGGTTCAAAGGCTGCCGGGGGGGAAAAAAAAGTCCCAAACATCAGTGCGCGGGATCAGCACCTACACGTATCATGATGGTACACTAGCATTCATTTCGCGCGCAGGCTGGCGGGGAGCATCTTGGCATGAAGGACGCCATGGAAGCAGCGCTGCGGACGTTGGAAGAGGCGGGCGCAGAGATTTCTTACCGCGATGACCCAGAGACGGAAGCCCAGCTGTTCAAGGAAACGAACAAGATTTTTGACAATTGGATGCCATCATATTATCACTCTCGCGGGGCCCTCAGGGCGCAGGCCCACAAGGATCACACACATATTGCTGGACATGTTCTGCTATACCGGCTCTTCGTCTTACTGGAGGAACACGAGGCTAGACATCGACTCCTGACGTCTTACACCGGACTCAGCGATGGGGATGAGCTGGCAATTTGGTAGGTGACGTCGCCATCGCCGACGCGTGCAGAAATTGCCTTGAAGTTAGTCTTTGATGGGCTGAAAAACGCAGTGATCTTCATGTCCACCCAGGACCGCGAGTGGGCGAACCTGCACTTGAACAGGGTAATATCCCACCACGCAGGCTCACGGTGCTCATTGGGACGACGGCGTCGCAAGTCTTGATCCACGCCGCCCGTCCGCCCCCGCACCCGCCGCGCAGATTGCGCCGCGTCGATTGTGCCGCGTAGATTGCGCCGCCTGAACAGTGCCACGGGGGCCTTCGCTGGCTAACATTTTCTGGGCCTCCTGGCAGTCAGGGCGGCGTCGGAAAATGTTCGAGTGACGAGCCAGAATGCTCCCGTGACCACCGCGATAAGGGTTCCTGTCGACGATGCGCACGCGCCGCGCGTTGTCGAAGACGGAGACTGGCCGCCATCGTTTCGGCAGTGGTCCTCGGTGCAGCATCTGCCCCTACAGCGCGGAGGCGGGTTCCGTCTTTCGGAGGATGATGCGCGAGCAGATGGCGTTGGTCCAACAGCGTGGAGGATTTGCCCCTGGTGACGGTGTCGGACTGGAAGGCGGCAGTCGAGCAGGCGGGCGTGACGAACGAGCCCCACCGCAAACTCTGGCTCACTCGCGCCGCGCTGATTGGAGCCAGGATGGCGCGGGGCATTGCAGACGAGCCGTTGCGCCGCGACAAGAGGCTCACCCTGAGCGCCTTCGCCGCCATCTTCCCCGACCAGAAGAACTACGCCGCCCGCGTCGGGAAACGCCTGCGGCGTTCGTCGGCCCCGCAGCCGACGAAGAAACTGCAGTGCAGGGGCGCGCCCGAATATTTTTCAATGTTCCCATGCCTCTTCCTGGACTCGCGCGCCAGGCAGTTCGCGGCCAAGGACTTGAAAAAGCGCGCGGCTTCTATCCGCCGCGCCCGAAGGGTGCGCAAGAACAGGGCCGGGCACGAGGGCCGCCCGGCCGCCGCGGTGAAAGCCGCGCTGGATAATCTGCCGTGACGAGGTCTGCTTTTGCAGAATTGTGCGAACGTACTCGCGCAGGTTAAGGTCTGAGCGCCCTGAGCCGGCATTCCGCCAGGCAGGCCACCACGCAGCGCCATAATGCACGAAACCCGGGGCCGTCGAAAACACCGCGTATACTGCGCCAGGTAGATTGCACCGCTTAGAGCACATCAGCGCGGCATGCGCCACGCGGATTCCACCGCGTAGGACTGGGTCGCAGCTCGCGCCACGTGGATTGCGTCGCACATATTGGGCGACGCGTTGTTCGGGGCCCACGCTGCCTTACATTTTCTGGCTCTTCTGGCAGTCGGGGCGGCGCCAGAAAATGTTCAGACGCTTCGCGTGAGTCCGGAGACGACGGCGACGACGACGACGGACAACACATCGTTGGGATTCCACGCCGGGCAACGTGTTCTGTCTCATTTGGCAGCCAGGGCAGCGCCAGAAACTTCGCGTGAGTCTGAGGGAGAACGCACTATTTTCGGGCCCCTTCGCCTTTCTGGGCACTCCCAGAAAATATTCACTGACGCTTCGTGGGAGTCTGAGGGCGACGACGACGACGACGGCGGCGACGACAACGACGACGACGGCGGACGACGGACGACGGACGACGAGGCGAGGACCCTCGCGACCGCGCGCTCCCCGGTCGGGCCGCGCCTCCCGCGCCCACGGGGCGCCGCCCGCTCGGCTTCCGAGGATGGAGGTTCGAGGATCGAGGCTTGGCGTTTTTTTGTTTTCATGTTTTTTTTTTTGGGGGGGGGGCCTTTCGCGGTGCATCTCGTTCCTTTACCCGCCGCCCTCGCCGGGAGGTTCCGGGGTCGAGGGCCGGGGAAGGACGACCTCTGGTCGGGGCCATCCTGGACGTTGTCGTCGTCGTCGCCGTCGTCGCCGGGTCGGAGTTCGTCCGTCGTTGTCGTCGCCGCCGCCGCCGCCGCCGTCGCCGCCGCCACCGCCGTCGCTGCGATGTTCAAGGATCGAGATTCGAGGATCAAGGCCTTGGAATTCTTTGCCATTTCGCAGGCCACCGGGGCCTTCCCGAGGCCTCCGGTAGACACTTCGTGTGAGGAAGAGGAGGTCGTCGTCGTCGTCGTCGTCGTCGTCATCGTCGTCGTCGTCTTCGCCCCGGCTCGGCCGGCCCGCCCGCCGCCTCGGTTCGGCCGGCGGAGGAGAAGGGGGAGGAGGAGGAGTAGGGGAAAGAGGGCGAGGAGGCGGGGGGGGGGGAGCGAATCAGACGCCGGGGGAGGCGGAGGAGGCGAGAGGAAGATGAGGGGGAGGAGGAATAGGAGGAGGAGGAAGGGCCCGTTTCGCGTAAGACATCCTCGACTGCGCGGGCCCCCATGCGCCCCCACTGGTGATGATCTGAGCAGTCTCGCCTTGGATATCCTCGCCACTCCGGGTTTCAAGATGCAGTTCTCGAAAGGTTCTCACCCTTTTCGCGTGAGACATCCTCGGCGCTCTGGGACCCGAGATGCTTTGACTGGAGGTGATTTGGCCGCCTTCGCCTGAAACGCCCTCGCAACTCTGGAGTCCGAGATGCCCTTCCCCCTGGCGGTCATGCCACCTTCGGTTTTTACATCCTGGCGACTCTGGGTTCCGCCTCGTCACCATCGCCATCGCCCTCGCCATCGTCGCCATCATCATCACCATCGCCGCCTTCGCCATCATCACAAGCATCACCATCATACATCGCCGCCATCACCATCATCACAATCATCACCATTTATGGTTTTCATCGCCATGAGCGTCGCGATCACCATCAGCGGTACCATCGCCATCATAAGCGCCCTCGCGGTCGTCGCAAGGACGAGGAAGTGGAGGAGGAGGAGGGCGCTGATGCTGATGAGGCCCAGGACGATGATAGGAGGAGGAGGAGGAACATGAGGGAAAGCGGATATGAACGAGACGGGCACGGGGAGGCGAGGCACATGATGTTGATGACGACGAGGATGATGGCGGTGTTGAGACAAATGATGCTGATGATGCGGATGATAATACGAATGATGATAATGATGGCGATGAGTGGTGATGGTGTTGATGATGATGATGGTGATGGCGATGGTGACGATGAGTATGGCGATGATGTTGATGCTGGTGATGGTGATGACGGTGATGGTGACGACGATGATGACGATGATGATGGTGGTGGTGATGATGATGCTAATCATGATCATGCTTGTGACGATGCCGACGATACCCCCAAATATGAAAATGGGGCCCGCAGTGTCTCGAATCCCTCTTTGGTCTCTCTCGGCTCAGGATTTAAGCAAACGTGGCTCGGCATAGCCGGCCTGTTTTCGATTTCCCCGCTCTTTCCCCGCTCTTTCCCTGATCGTGGATCAGCATTGCTGTCCTGTGACCTCTCTGTCGCATTTCGCTGCCATGTCTGCCGACGAACAGGGCGTGGCTGCCACCCAGCCCACGAGCCAATTCTCGGCTGATCTGGGCGATTCTATACTGCGGGCGAGTGCGCCGCCTTCTCCAATTCAGCGCGGCGAGCCGATTGGCGGGCCTGGCGAAGACACGTGCGCGCGTGCGATCACCATTCCAACGAGCCCGCCCGCTGGCCCGCCGCATGTTCCAGTCGATACCGTCGGGTGGTACCTGCCGACGAGCTGTGTCTGAATCACTGTTGCAATGCTGTCGCGGATATGTATTCGTGGTTGCGCGGCAGACACACGTCTGGTTGCGCAGGAGATAGGCGCAGAGTTTTCGCAGACGAAGCGCGCGCCAAGCAACTCCGGGATCGCACGCGCAGATGGCGCTGGACGCAGGAAACGAAGCCACTGCTGCCAGATTGCTGAAGACCGGGCGAGAAGCTCACCCGGGCTTTGACGAAATGAACTATTTTTTTGCGAGGTCCTGAGTGGCCAGATCGTCGTCGAGCACTACGAGGACACGAAGCACTCTGTTCAGAGCGTTTATGGTAACGGCCCTTTGAGAGCGCTCTTTCGGCTTCACATGCAGTCCTCTGAGGATGGGCACGAGGTCGATGATTGGTCGCGCCTGCAGAGTTGGATTCCGCGAGTTCCAGGGGTCGCCGCGCGCGCGAGCGAGCCCGGGGAAGCGCCCGCCGATCCCGTCGGCGACAACAGCTCCCTACAGCGACGGTTGAATCTTCCAGGCGCAGCTACGTGCAGTGCGGAATTCGACGAGTTCATGATGGAGGTAGACAGCGAGCGGAGCTGGCTGGAGAGTTTGACGGCAGACCCTGAGCCGCCTGCCGAGAGCACACTCGTGCAGACGGAGGCGGTGAAAACATTCATAGAGAAGAAGCACGCCTCATGGGATCCGTACTTGAAGCGGATTGCCCTTGGGGCGCTAGCCATGTATCGACGTTGGCTATCCGATGTCTACGTTCGAGAGCACGTCATGATGATGCACATCATACTTGGCGGTGGCTACCTCGTCGCTCACGATGGGGTCATGTATTTCTGGAACGGGAATATAAGGTTCTTCGAGAAGTACGAGGACCTCATGCCAGAGATTGTGCATGCTGCTCTGAAGGGGTACCTCTTGACTTTAGAAGGGCTTTTCTGGTCTATCACTTGCGAGGTTCGGCGGGGCGACGAGGCCGCGATGTCCGCAATCGAGGGGTCGTTGGAGAAGAACCGGCCGGAGGCTCGGAAGGCGTTCGCCGCGCGGCGCGACAACGCCATCTTCAACAAAGGAGGCAAGGGCGGCGGCAAGGGCGGCGGCGTGGGAGGCGCGGGGGAATCTGCCGCTGAATTCGATGCTCTCTCGCAGGTAGATGCACGGGGGCTGGATGGCGATGCGCCCGCGCCGGCGGACGACAGCGCCGCGCGCAGTGCGACGTGTTATATCACGATCGCAGCGAGCGTTGCTCGAGTCGGGCGAAGCTTACAGATCCAGACGATTCAGGACAAGTTGCCGTCGTTTTGCTGCGAGTGGTGCGATACTCCGCGCCCCTCGCACAGGGGCGTCGCCGGCCCCGACGTCGCGTTCGTCTACGACCTAGACGGAACCCCGGCGAAGCAGAGCGCGAGGGGGAGTGAACGCAAGAGCATATACATCGGCATGCCGCACAAAATCAAGGCTTGGTTGGGCGACCCGGCCTTGGAGGCGGCCGCAGCGAGAGTGGACCAGTTCCACGGGCAGACATTTTGGGCAAACGCCGCCGCGCACGAAGTGTGCATGGCCGCCCTCGCTCTGGCGAACAGAGGGTTGAACGTCGACCAGCTGTTCTTCTCCTGGGGGGCCGGCGGCGTCGGGCTTTCGCTGGCGACGGCCCATCTCGACGCCATGCTCAGCCACTCCAACCACAAGTATTTCGACCCGCAGGTGTTCTATCTCGACGAGGAGATGCGGAAGACGGTGGAGTCGCTCAAAGGCACGATCGTTCTCACGGCACAGGAGAAGCCAGAAGGCTTGAGGAAGAGCTCCCGGGAGGATTTGTTCAAGAAGCTGGCGTCTGCCGACGGCATCTTTGGTAGGCTCCCGTATCAAATTCTGAAAGTTACATACCTGGTCGGATGGAAACGCATGGAGCTCAACAAGCTCATCACTTTCGACGGAGTCACTGAGGGTGCATTCCACGCCATCCGGAGGTCTCTTCTGATCCAGATTTATGCTAGGTTCGTTGATGCGGAGTACATCAGGCGCGTTCTGCCAGACGCAGAGAAGTACGGCATCTTCCCGCGGGCGCCGGACCTGAAGCCGTTCATGCATTCAGGGCCCGCATGGCGAAGCGGCATCGAGGTCGGCGATAGATGACTACTGCCTGCGCGGAGGAGATAACGGAATCACGGGGAAATGCTGGCGACAGGCGCGTCTTCTCCCAGAGCCGAGCAGGCCGAAGCCTGGCGGCCAGAGAAGCGCGGCTGCCCCGCCGCCCGGCGTCGACTTCGAGGTCGGAGCGGGCGCGTCGCAAGATGCGGCGGCGCCGATGGAATCCTTGCGCCGCCACCTCCTCCAGCAGACGCTCGAGCGGAAGTTCGACGCCCTGACGTTCTCCTATTTCAAGCAGGTTCATACGGTGCAGATCCAAGGTTTGCCTGAGAGGAAAACCACAGTGTGGCAAGCGATGGATTCCGCCAGATGGGCGGAACCCGGGTCGCAAGGCAAGGCGAAGGACAGACTTTTCCCGAAATTGCCCCTCGCCCGCAAGTTCATCGATGTCGTGCCACCGCCGAGTTTGGAGGAGCCGACCGCCCTCCCAGAACAGTGGGACCGCGCGGCGCTGCAGCGCTACGCGAACGGCAACGCTTGCCGCAGGCACAACGTCGAAATCACGGTGGCGGTCCTGGGGTCCGTTGCGAAGCAGCGCGGGCGGAAAAGCCGCGCGAACACCGCTGAGGCGGGCAGCGACGCTCACCTGCGCGAGATCGGCGTGTCAATCCAGGCTGCGGAGGCGACTCTGGGCGCGATGCTGGAGAGCGCGCGCGAGAGGCCGACGGTGGCCACCGCCGAGCAACCATATGCGAAGAGGAGGAAAATCGCTGTGAAGAAGAGCTCTAGCGGCGGCAGCGACTTGGCAGAGCGTGCCATCCCTTACGTTTGCAAGCGCGCTGCGGCCCGTTGCTTCGCGGACGTCCCGGCAGCGCAGGGCTGCCCGACGCGCGTGCTGTTTCCGATGCTGCAGGGCACTGTAGATCTCGACATTCACTGCGCGGTTCTGACAATCGCCTGGCAACTCGTGGAGAAGATGGACCTGGCGGAGAAGGATCTGTTCAAAGAGGAGTTGACATTGTTGAAGCAGCTGGCCGAGGACAGAGACGAGATATTGCAGAAGGAGTTGAAGAGCATGGGGCACCATGCGGCCAAGCGCTTCGTGCTCGAGACCATCGGCGGGTCCGGAGCTTTCGACGTCGACGCCGAGCCCTTCGCCAAAAAGCTGCAGCGCGTCAGCCGCGTGCTGCGTTGGGTGGCGTGCTCTGCGTTGCCCGATGTATACGAAAGCTTTTGCAGCGACGCCGAGCAGCGCGACGACAAGAAGAAAGAGAAATGGCCGGAGGGGCAGACATTCTCCACTTTCTACCAGCGCGCAGAGGACTGCATCCTCCGCCAGTTTCAGACGTGGGTGCTCATGCAGCCGGTGGCGCATTTGTCCTTGCACTTCGACGGCGTGAGGGTCAGCAGGGACGCGGTGTTCGCCGAGCATGCCACGGTGGCGGACTACGCCGCTGACGCGAGTGCCTACATCGCGCAGGAAACAAGCTTCGTAGTGAAGATTAAAGAGAAGACCCACCCGACGATCGCAGAGGCGCTGATGAGCTGCGGGGCGTGGCGGCCTCTGGAAGCGGCAGCGGCGCCTGGTAACCTGCTGAAGCCCGGCAATGGCATTCTATTAGCGCTGTGGCGATGCGGCGACGACAGGGCGTCCGTGTCCGTCCTCTCCCTGGCAGGCGCCACCTCAGTTGAGAACAATGCCGCCAGCGTCGACAAAGGGAGAACTTACGCGGAATGTTGCCTGAGCCACAAGATTTCCATGATGCCCCATTTAGGTTTCAATGCGAAAGAGGATGGGCCTGATCTGCTCCACCTGGATGGGGGCGGATCGCCGTCTTGCGCACTCGTCCACGTTGAGAGGGCGCTCGACAAGGCGTCGGTTTGTTTCAAGGACAATGCTGGAGGGGTGGGTCTGTCAGATGTCCATGATGCCCTTCTCGCGGGGCGAGACTCGAGGATAGCAGTCGCGTTTCGCGTCGATCTGTGCCCGGCGGCGCAGGCGCAGGCGCCCGACGAAGGCGACGGCGACGCCGGCCCTTGGCGGGGCTCTCGGGCATGATGGCGTGAGGCGCCGCCGTTCGGGCTGAGTGGATCGTTAGTGGCAGCGGTTGCAAGAGACAGAAAAACATAGTTGGGTTCAATGTAGTTCGGTTGCTCGTCCGGCCAGGCCCCTGCGGAGTTTTGTATTCCATTTGCTTGGGAATGCCAAGATACCCTTTCCAATGCAAGCTGGGGTCTCAGGTTGAGCATGACACAAATCAGAATGTTGATCTTCGCAACATAAACAGGGCCCTCGTCTAGCCTGCAAGACAATTCGCATCGATGAGCGAGCGCTGGTCGCAGAAACACCCAGAACGCACGTCCACCCTGGAAGCGGACACGCATCGGCACGTTCAGCTTCACAGCATCAGCAATTCAGAGACAGTTCGGTCGCGTACTCCTGCATTCGCAGCCCGATCTTAGCAGGGGTATCTGCGGGTCTTCTGGGGGGCCGCTCGCCGCGTCGGCTCAAGTCATACGTGGTACGTGGGTCGGCTTTGCCGCCCTGTGCTTTCTTCGCTTCATATTTGCCCGTATCCCCCTGTGTGTCGGCCGTGCCGCCCTGAAACCTCATCGCATCTCCGCGCGCTACCTGGCATGTGCGAAGCGCTCGCGGTTGTCGCAGACGCCGACCCGCGCGGAAAGCGCATGCAATGTGTTTCTGGGGTCAAACGCTCTATCGAGTATGTATCCATCCAGCTTCTGAGCAGCACTGGCGAGCTGGAAGACGACGAGAGGCCCGCGACCCCAGACCCCTACCTGCCCGGCGTCAGCAAGCGGCAGTGGGAGGCCAAGGTTTCTGCATGGCGCAGGGAAATGTCGCGACTTCTTGACGAGGTGCCGGTTAGTGCGACGGAATTGGCGGCGGCCGAAGAGCTCGGCGTCTGGGTAGAGCCTTCGCCGTCTGCCGTTCGCGGCTGTCGAGCTCTCCTGCAAGATGGGAACTGCATCCCGCTCGCTTACAGCATCCTGACGCGGGACTTCTGCGGCGGCATCGACTACTGCGCGCGATTTCCCATCCCTCGAGGCGCGGGGCGTCGTTGCGCCGACGTCGCCAACCACTTCGGCTTCTCTCTGACCGTCGTGCGCCTGCAGGCTTCGCAGCAGGGTGCGTGCTCACTCTTGCACGGGAAGTATTTCTGCCATATGCGGTACCATTGCTGCGCTGCGGCTGTTCTCCCAGGATCATATTCGGCGATCGTATGGAGAGGTTTCAGCCGCCACGTTCTGCCGATGGCGCAGTGGGTCCGCCGCGTCGAAGAAGTCGAGGGCGCGCTGTTGCATATCACTTACAGCAGTGAAGCGGGCCTCGACGTCGATTTGACAACTGGACGGGGATCGCGGGAGACCGCGGCCGACAGGGGCTTCATGAGCGCCGACGATGATCCGCTGCGAGGCATGGCGCATGGGGAAGATGTATCCAATGCGTGTCTCAGCTTGGCTCTGAATACGCTGGGGGCACAGGTGCCGACCGGCGTGCAAGGCCCATTCCGTGCACTCGAGCACGGGAACCAATGGCTGTCATATCTCGGCTTCGTCTTGGTCCGGCAGCCGCGGGGGCCGGGCCGACCGGCCCGGGGCGCTAGAAGCTGGACAGGCCGCGAGCGTCGGCCACTTCGCAGCCGTTATCCTGCGGCCAGGCAATGCCACTGTGATAGACCGCCGAGCAGGCCTACCAGCTGTTCGCGAGTGGCGAGCGTGGAGCGACATTCCGGACGCTGAGGAGCACAAGTGGCTCTTGTTGTTGGAGCTCGGCGCGCAGAGGCCGGGGCCTGAGAGCGGCAGCCTTCTGCCATGGGGCACGACTTCTGGGATCATCGAAGCTCATAGGCTGGATGCGCTCATCCGTCGGCGCGCGGCTCGCAAACGAGCGGGGCCCTATGGGCCGGCGTCGTTAGGTTCGATGGCGCCGCAGGAGGCGGCCCGGGTATCGGCGAACCGAGAGGAGGCAATGCGGCGCAGATATTTGCGTTTGTTCTGCCCGTTGCCGCCGGCGGGGCAAGTCCCGTGCGATTTCTCCCATCGAGCTGCCGCGTCTTCCGAAGATTCGCCTACTCGAGCGACTCAACGCTCACCCGCGGGACTCTCAGTTGCACTTCGTCGAAGAGTCACATTCCCACTGCATTCGCGGCGCGCGAACACATGGGCCAGTCACGGGGTTGATACACGAGTGCACTAGTGGTTTCGACGCTCGCGCAGTGATCGAGAAGATTTGGAACGGGCGAAAATGGCCGCGACCTGATTATTTGCGCCACCCTCGCCCGGAAGACGCAGTCGCGGCGCTGCGGGACCCGCCGGAGTGTGCTCGCCTGCGCGAGTTACTTGTTTCGCACGGGGCCTGCGACGCCGAGATCTGCGCCGAGGCGAAGGCAACTGCGAGAGCGGCCCCCCGCCTGGCATGCCTGTTTGAGGGTTTATCTCTCTCGGATCAGGAAATCGTGGAGAAATGGCGCCTGAACAAGGAAGAGGCTGCTAGGCGGGGCACCTGGATGCACTGGACTTTCGAGGCCCACCTCAATCGCGTTCCGGTGCCGCACGACGCCGTGGAGTTTCAGTTATTCTTGAAATTTCTGGGCGCGCTGAGAGGTCTGGCGGCTTTCCGCGCCGAGTGGGCCATCTTCGCCGAGCACGAGGGGCTGGCTGGGTCAATCGATTTCGTGGCCCGAGACTCCGCGGGCAGCTTGTACATATACGATTGGGAGCGGGCGAAGAATTTACGCTCGAAGTTCACGAATCCATGGGAGAATTTGAAGTCTCCATTGGGCCGGTTGCCAGACTGCCAGGGAAATCATTATTGGGCGCAGCTTAACATGTACAGGTGGATGTTGGAACGGTATTACGGCGCCCGCGCGGCTGCGATGTATGTAGTCTGCCTGCGTCCGGACAACGATGACCAGCCATTCGTGGACGACGTGCCGGTGATGCCAGAGATCGACGAGCTCATGGTCATTCAGCGCACGAGGTCCCGGGAGTTGCGGGCAATGGCTTCGGAAGACGCCAGGGAGATAGACCCTCTGGGCGGCCGGCCGCGGCCAGTCGTGGAAGCGCGCTTGCCGCATTGCCTGAGCACCGCGGCCAACTTCGGTCGTGCTTTTCGCCAGATCTCCATGGAGGTCGCGCACTGGCACTGCCGTCGCGATTGCGCGCCGCCCTCCTGAGGTGCCGTTGCAATTGCCGGATGCCGACTTGCAACGGATGAGAATCGCGCGCGCGGGCTTGGTGGGAGCAACATTGACAGCCATGTGCTCCCAAGCTACGCGGACGTAGTGGCGCCTTCGCGTGAGGAAACGCATGGATGCGACGGTTGCGCTGCTAAAAAGAATTTCCTGTTCGCATATACAGCCGCCAAAACGGGGGGGCTACCTAGAGACAGCGCGCATCTCACGCCCCCATTGCACAGGCCAAATGCGGGCGCAAGTCGCGCTGCCCAGCAGGCGACGCGCGCAGAGTTCGCTCGGCAGCACTATAGAATCTGATTTTTCCCCGGCGCGCCTTTCGGCGAGGTGCGGGGGAAAAATCAGTACGGCATTTTCGCATGGGCGCCGACCGCGCTCCCGGTTGAGCTCGGCGCTCTCGCCTCAGCGCAGGCCGCGCGCACGGAGAGTTCCGGGCCCCCGAGGACAACCAAAAGGTTAGCAGTGGGAAACACTGCGTGGAAGTTGCACGTAATATATTTTTTCTCCCGTTTGCGTCTCATCGAGGCGCGGGGGGACATCAGCATGCATTGGTTTTGACAGGGCGCGAGTCGCGCTGCCGAACGGGCGACGCGCGCAGAGTTCGCTCGGCAGCGGCATAGAATCTGATTTTTCCCCGTCGCGCGTTTCGGCGAGGTGCGGGGGACAAATCACTCCCTCAATTTTCGCATGAGCGCCGGCCGCGCTCTCGGTCGGGCTCGGCGCTCTCGCCTCAGCGCAGGCCACGCGCGCGGAGAGATCCGCGGCCCGCGAGGACGATCAAGAGGTTAGCAGTGTGAGACATTGCTTGGAAGTGGCATGGAATCTGATTTTTCCCCCGCTTGTGTTTCATCGAGGCGCGGGGGAAAATCCAAATGGTCTATGTGTGACGTACGCGCAGCGCATATCTCGCGGCTGCCAGTAACACCTGTAGGCACGAGTCATTGATTGCACAATATTATGCGTCTCGGATTATGCGTTTGCAGATTATTTAGCCAGACAGCAGGTTTGCCAGAGAACGCGAATTCAAGCTGTGGAGGTTGTCAAAAGTAACACTAGCATCAGTGTCTGCAGCAGTGCCAGAAGTAGTAGTCCTCGTCGCAGCAGTACTCAGCGCAGAGCGAACCATGGCCGTTTTTCTTTCAATTATCGTTTTGGTGTGGCTCGGCATTGCCGGCCTGTCACTTAACCTATTGCGTCGCTCGCCCTCGCCGGCCTGCTGCGCTGCCTCGTAGAGGATCGGCATTGCCGTCCTGTGAGTTGTCCTGCACCTTGGCGCCATGGCCACCGACGACCAGTGCGCTGCTGGTTCCCCGTTCCTGAGCCCGCACTACCCGGAGTTCGGCGAGCCGACGCCGCGCGGGAGGGCTCGCCAGCGGCGAGATCCGTTTGGTGCCCGCTCGCTGACGCCGGCGCGCAGGAAGCGTCGACTGTCCTCGCGGGCTGCGCGCGAGGCTGCAGCGCGAACCCCTCAGTCGTCTCCGGGGAGAGACGACGCCGCTGACATCGATGCTTTCGCGCTGGCGGTATCGGTGATCTCAGACGAAGCAGTCGACAGTATTATGTCTTGCTTCCCTGCCGTGTTGAAACGGACATTAGCGCGTCGTTTCGCGCGGGATCACCAGACTCGCCATGACAAAACGTTTATACTCGCGAAGCCTCTCTGTTCGAGCAGGCGTAGTGCTTCGCGTGGCCCGCGCAGCGCCGGACTGCCTGGAGCCCTTGCCGTTGTGCCTCGCCGGCTTCAGCCAACGCAGAACTTGCCGCGGTGACAGCCCCCAGCCCTGTTCACGATCGCTGCTTCATTTGCGGGGCGGATGACGGCGACGTCGACGGCGTCGGCCGC